CAATTACACGAACAAGTTTGAGGCTGAAAGCTTCGAAACCTGTGTTTTCTCTAGCTTTCTAGAGGGTTCTTTTTAGATGCTCTTGCAGCGTCAAATTCTTCAAGATTTTTCAGCCTTGCGAGCTTCCCTAGCTCAGCTGGCATATGTCCTGAAATGTTGTTATTCTGCAAAAGCCTAAAACAATCATTTCAATAAAACCATCAACCTTAAATGTCTTGAAATGTATGTTAATGATGTTATACCCGCCTTCACATAATAATAACTATAACGAGGTTCATAATTATAAATTTATAATCAAACAGAACAAGAACCCAAACCAATGAAATGCAAAGCCAGAGAACAAACCAGTGTGAGCTGCAGCTATAGCTTGACTGTACTTTTTTGTCTTGAACTTGCCCAGCTGCAAAAAGCCCCCCAGAAACTAGTTAGCAACCTTCATTAAAGCAGTTGCACTTACTTTGTTCGAAGCTTCATAAGTTATTCTTCTCAGTTCAAAAACGAGATTTTGCAAACCCTAATATTTTAACATAATAGCAATCTGAGTCAGGACAAGTCGAAAGGGGAAGAGATGCAGACCTGTAGCATTGCTTTCCCGGCCTCTAGCACCTCTTAATTAGTCTGGCAGTCTGTGTCCATGAGAGTTGTCAAAAGAGAACCCTTCGTAAGCAGAATCGGCTATTTTTTGCTCCGACTCATCGTGCATCTCTTACATAGCTTTGTTAACTGCTGCATCATCTTGATCCTTAAGATGCTTCTACTCTACATATATGTTTTATTCCATGAGCAACTACCTGAGAGATGAATCATAAGTTCAAAATTGATTACAACATCTTCTAAGTCATGTGTCAATCTAGTTACGAGAGAGATGGGTAAAAATTCATGCAAAAGCTTTTCATGTTACCAAGGGCTTGTACTTCTGCACCAAGTCAGATGTTAAGTGATGAAAAGAGCCTTACAAGCTGCTGGTTCGTTATATCATTTTCACTTGATGCAGAAGTACAAGCTCTAACTACCTAGCAATGGCTTAATACTAGCAATGGCTGGCTCTTATAATCTTTGTGCCACAGAGAATGCATTTGGTCAGGATTCACATTTCTGGTTCTCTAACTACCTAATCCAGAAAACGAAAAATAATGAAGCAATGAGCAACCATCTCCAACAAATCAAAGAGGACCTCGATGAAATTATACTAAACCTTTAAGCAGCAATAGGGTACTGAATATATGACTATACTAACCTCCTTTCGGTCACACAATTAGCACTGCACTTGGTTGGGAAGTTATTGTACAAATTCGCAAAGTAGCTTCTGTCGTCGACAAAAGGATGGCTTTGACTGGGAAACCTTGAAGCACAAGAAGGTAAGATAGATCTATTTGAGAGATTAAAAAGATAGATCATGTTTGATCCTACAATGCTTTCAATGTAGAAGAGAAAAACACAGAGAAGTACAAGAGAATATAACACAGTTCAACGCTTTCCTTTCCTTTCTATACACCCCACTTTTCCTTCCATCAAAACTAGTTCTAATGGTGTATCTCCCAGTATTGGTAGGTGTCCCTTAGGAAACCCCATGTTCATCTTTGCATTCGGACAGACTCTGCTACTCAATAGCAATAGCCACTAAAAGGAAGTACCCAAGTAACTACTCAGTACCATTACCCTGTGTAGGACCCATTCTCTTCATCTGCATATCTGATTACAACCCACGTCAAACAAAAGGAAGCCATCTAAATATAGAAAAGCAAATGATTTTATTGCTGAGAAGGAATTGGTGTTGATTTACATTATAGCTAACGAGGAAGAATGAGAATTTTCATCCTTAATATGATAAGGGAAATTAAGGCACATTGCACAACAGTTAACCACGGTATATCATTTTGAGTTTCAATGATTGGCATAGAAAGAGATAGAGAGAGTCATACCGCAAACCCAGGTGACTGTTGCAAACTGATCCTCGGGAAGACTAAGTTGTTCATATATTCTCCAGCACAAACCTGGTGATACAGGGGATAAATTATGACTCACTCTTGTAACTAGAGTGCCCAAGTAACCATTCTCAACAGAGAATAGAGGAAAACAAAAAAAAGTTCGCACTTGGCACTACAGAGCTTTCAACCTCCATGTCAACCTAATAACAAATGCAAAATAGCCACCCAACAGAAACAATCAACTCAATTTAAACTAACAATATGATCATGGCAGTGAGAAACTTTGAATGAAGGATAATCTTCAACCAACTTAAGATAATAAAAATTGCAAACACTTTGCAAAATATACTCTTTCTCTTATAGTTGCCTTGTTGCCCTTTGCCATTAGTCCATCATTCTCATTCTTCACCATCAAGATAAACTTCTACAAATGGCAAAAAGAAACAATGAACTTAATCAAAGTTGATAGTGTCCTCCATCACAGTGAATGAAATAAGGAAATACTACCCATACCCATATATCTAGACATTCTAGCCCAAGACAGGCTCTTCCTTCTCCCCTGCCTGGAAAATAGTAACTCAGAATGGTATATGGAACAAGCAAAAGTGACTGGTACATGCTGCTTGCTATACCATAAATGCTACTGTTCTTAATCTTGATTTCACTGGTCACCTGCTTCCTAGGTTCATCAAAGACAAGATCTACTTTCAATGGACTATGAATCCATAGTTGAAAACTCCAAGTATCAACAATTCTGTTCACCTAGTGCTACAATCAAGAACTAACACCAAGGACTGGCCAACTAAAGCAAAGAACTAAGAAGTTAATTTTTACAAAACGCAAAAACCCTAACCTGATTTCTAGGGCACCGGCTGAAGCACTCAGACGAATCCTCGAGCTCATTTTTCGTCAGAGCCTTTGTTCTGCAGAAAAATCACAATCAATTGACAATCACACTAAAGCATCACAATGAAGTAAGAATCGGAACATTGACCTCAACAGATAACTGATCAGTTCTTAGCTTACGCAAGGACCAGGGGCGAAACCTTGAGATCGGACATAGAAGAAGCAGAGGTAAAATTGGCCAGAGCTGGAGGCGGGATGATTCGCGATCAGTTCCCCTACGACAAGAAATTCCATAACCCTAACTTAGTAAAGAGAGAGATCGAAGAGACGAAGGAGAAAGCATCACAGTTCCTACGGCGGCGGCAGTACTCGCGATCAATATCGCATCGGCGCTGGCGAGGGATTGGATGCCATGGCTAGGGATTTGAGCGGCGCTCGTGCTCCAGGCCAGTGTATTTGACTTGTGTTCTCCGGACGACGCCATGGACGACTCATGCTTCAAGCCGGCATATCCGCCTTCCGTGTTCTCGCAACGACGCCAGGGGGCAGGGACGACCTCGTGCACCATCGCCTCCGTGATTTGCTCAACGGCGCGGGTGACGAGAGTGCCAATCCTGTCGCTAGGGATCAAGATGACGACACTTAGACCTTCGTCTCTGGGACGGATCGATGAGAGGTGAAGATGGCGATGAGGCGCGACGGAGGATGACGGGAGGATAGGAGAAGTTGGAGTCAGAATCGGAATTGAGAAGAAGAGGAGGAGGAGAAGTCGGATGGAATCGACAGGAGTCTGGTTTAGCGGAAGAAGGAAGGAGTATAGCCTATAGGAGAAAGGGTAAAGGTTGATTGTTATTAATAATTACATCTACAACCATTAAGTTTTAATAATAATAATTATATATAGTACCTACATTTTTATATATCAAATACAATAGCAACCAAATAATTTAGTTCTTCCGGTTCCGGTTTGCAACCAAATTATTTAGTTATCTAAGAATTTTTAGAATACTTGTTTAAATTCATAACCAATATATTTGGTTGGAGAAAGTAAAATTCATTATGTTACCAAATTATTTGGTTGGAAAAACTAAAAATTATTTTGCTACCAAAATTATTTGGTTGGAAAAAGTACAAATCATTTTGCTACCAAATTATTTGGTCGCTTTAACTTATATTTGGTTATCGATACTTTAATTTTAATAGACAACCAAATTGTTAATACTTTAGCTTCCAAAAAATAATTGGTTGTATATGCTAGCCTTTTCGCAACCAATTTGTATTTGGTTGTAAACTATTTGGTTGCAAAAACTAGTTTTTGTTGTAGTGTCGGGCATAGGATTCCTTTTTACCTGATTTTGCTGGTTCATCGGAAAGCTGCAACGGCTCCTGTTGTTCTACTCTGTCTCTCTGCAGCTGCTCCTCGTCTCGTTCCTACTCAACGGTCTCTGTCCAGTCGTCGGGATTCTCCATTTGAAAGAGAGGAGTATCTAAAATTTAATTAGCGTAGGAAAATAGTGTCAACATGCAGCGAAGGGTATGGCTGGTGAAATTATAGAAAAATAGGGGAAGCAATTTTAAAAAAAAATTACATCGGTTTAGCTAATAATTGCACGAAACTCTCTCAAACCAAACATTGCACTGGTTTGGATATCACCAATTTCGGTTGGTTTGAAACTAAACTGAAATCAATTAGATTAAATTTCGAAATATTTAGTCGAAATTATTTAAACCGAAATCAGATAAGGTACTATCTCTTTTTTTTTTTATAAAAAAATCTGAGGACAAATACATAACCTAATTGACAAACTTATTGTCACTAATATCTTATCTAATTTGAATGACAAAAGATTTCCCACTTAGTATCGTGTCACCATATTTTCAGTCAATTTATTAAATTTTAAAAATATGAGACTAAGCCTTCTTTTATCTCAAGGTATCAGCACCTTTCTAGAGCACGACCTTGTCATCAACAACGGTAATTAAAAATGATGGAGATCGAGATAATTGACCTAGAAAGTACAATTATTTTAGTAAACCAAATGTTAAACCATTTGATTAATAAATAAATCATATCATATCATATCATAATTCGAGCCGTTGAACGAGGGGATTTGTGGGCCGTGGGCCACTTGAAAATAAGAAATCATGGGCCCGATCTACCTAACAGTCTTTTTCAAAAGGAATAAAATATTATATTAAACGTTTATTACACTGTGTCTTCTCTTCACTTTCTTCTAGTTCCTCTTCCTCTACCGACCGAACGCCAGAGAAAAGAAAACACAGAGCATAGCTTTACGACAAAAAAGCACTGCAAAAAAGTTAAGAAACAAAAAACAAAAAGTCAAAAATACTTTTCTTTTCTGGTTCAGCTTTCTTCCCTCTCTCACTTACCCTTTTCAGCTCACTCTGCTCGTTCTCATCTCTCCACACAAAACTCTTTCGGCTTCTCTTCACCGAATATCAAAACCTCAACAAATGGCCGACGAACCTCCGCCCTCCGCCGCTCCTCCTCCACCACCCCCTCAATCCTCCGTAGAAGAGCTGCCGGTAGCACCGCCACCGCCTCCGGAGCAAGCGCCAGCTGCGGAGGTTTCCGCCGAGGATTCATCCGCCGCACCGCCGACAGAGGAGGAGAAGAAAGCAGAAGTAGAAGCGGCGCCGGTGAAAGCCGAAGTGGTCGCGAAATCGGTGGTAATCAAAGAGGAGTTCACCGCCGAGCCGGAGAAGAAGGAGAAATTGAAGGTTCCGGAGTCTCTGATCTCGTTCAAGGAAGAGAGCAATCGAGTCTCTGATCTGTCTGATTCGGAGAGGAAGGCGCTCGATGAGTTCAAGCAGCTGGTCCAGGAAGCTCTGGACTCTCGCTCCTTCACCTCTCCTCCTCCTCCGCCGCCGCCAAAGGAGGAGATTCGGACTTCCTCTTCCGCCGCTACCACCGCCGCCGCTACCGAAGCTCAGAAATCTGAAGATCAAAGCTCCGATGTCAGCACAGAGATTACTCCACCGGCCGCTGAAAAGCTAGAAGAAGAAGCTACTCCAGCAAAGGAAGAAGAGCCTGCGGCAGCTGCTGCTTCCTCTTCCTCGTCGGCTGAGGTGTCAATTTGGGGGATTCCGCTGCTGGAAGACGACAGAAGCGACGTCGTTCTGCTGAAGTTCTTGAGAGCTAGGGATTTCAAAGTGAAGGAAGCGTTCACGATGCTGAAGAACACGATCCAGTGGAGGAAGGAATTCAAAATCGACGAGCTCGTGGAGGAAGATCTCGGCGACGATCTGGAAAAAGTCGTCTTTATGCACGGCCACGACCGAGACTGCCACCCGGTGTGCTACAACGTGTTTGGCGAGTTCCAGAACAAGGAATTGTATCAGAAGACGTTCTCCGACGAGGAGAAGCGGACCAAGTTCTTGCGGTGGCGGATTCAGTTCCTGGAGAAGAGCATTCGGAATCTGGATTTCAGGCCGGGCGGTGTTGCCACGATCTTTCAGGTGAATGATCTGAAGAATTCGCCTGGGCCGGCGAAAAGGGAGCTCCGATTGGCTACTAAGCAGGCTGTGCAGCTGTTGCAGGACAATTACCCTGAGTTTGTAGCCAAGCAGGTAACTTTGTTTTCTCCCTCCATCATTTCTGGAGTATAATAATTCATTGAATTTGAACTGGTCAATGAGACAATGGATTGGATGGGGTTGTAGAGGATTGAATAGGAATTTGCTCACCAATTCGTCGTGGAGGTAACTTGTCATTAGCATTTTCGGTCGAAATGTTGTCGTTGCGGCAACCAGAATGCTACCTATTGCTATTAAAACGAGTTAGTGTTTTAATTGTCTCAATTGTGTCCAATGTGATGCATATATACCAATTCAGTAACCAAATTGGTGGTTAACTCAGCTCTATGTGATGCATTGGGGACTGATCTTCGTATTGAGACAATTAAAGCATCGAGCTTGTTCGTAATAAGCCTCTTTCGGTACTTCCATTTCCCTCATCTTGCCTCGGCCAGGGAAATGAATATGCTAACGATGATTTATAAGGTCGAATTGGTGTTTTAATTATTTCAATGTCAAGTTTGGTTGGATGTACAAATTGATCTTTGACCCATTGGATTGAATGCTTGTATGATGTAAAATCACTCTGCTGCTCTGTTCTTGATTGCTGGCCTTTTTGTCGGTTTTGCAGGTGTTCATCAATGTACCTTGGTGGTATCTTGCATTCTATACCATGATGAGCCCCTTCATGACCCAGAGGACTAAGAGCAAGTTCGTGTTTGCCAGCACGGCGAAATCTGCAGAAACACTTTTCAAGTCAGTTGGTTTTGCATTTTCTTCATCAAGTTTCTTCCTTTCTCTAATTCTTTGATGTTGTTGTTTCTTCCTGTCCATGGTCATGTTGGTTTGAAGTCTGATTGTGTGATGTGATGCTCGAACCAGATACATATCTCCCGAGCAAGTCCCAATCCAGTACGGTGGATTGAGCGTGGATGACTGCGATTGCGACCCGGAATTCACTTTTGCTGATCCGGTCACCGACATGATCTTGAAGCCGGGGACCAAGCAGACGGTGGAGATCCTAATTTATGAGGTAATGACAGGCACTGTTCTGTAACCTTGGTTGGGTACTTGCACTTTGACAAAAACTTCAAACTTATGGGGTTGTTGTTTGTTTTACTTGCAGAAATGCATGTTCATCTGGGAGATACGAGTGGTCGGGTGGGAAGTGAGCTACAGCGCCGAATTCGTCCCCGAGACAAAAGATGCATACACAATCATAATCCAGAAACCGACGAAGATGACACCAACTAGCGAGCCGGTGCTGTCGAACCAGTTCAAAGTGAGCGAACTGGGGAAGATGCTGCTTACGATCGACAACCCAACCGCGAAGAAGAAGAGGCTTCTGTACAGGTTCAAGATCATTCCCTTGTCTGTCTAGCTTTCCAGACCATCAGTGACTGTGTTGTATTTTTACTTAATTTTTACGGGTGTTCCAAAATTTTGGATGTCGGAAGATGGAAGTGTCCTGGGTTTTGTTTTTGGCCTCTGTGGTTGTTGTTGCTTTGTTTTGGCTTGGCATGTTGTAAATTTGCTATGAGAAGTGGATTGTCTGAAACTCTATTTATTTTGCCTAATGATAAACTGTTTTTCAATAATGAATAACCATTGTGCTTACGAAAAAGGAAGAATGAGAATTGTTGGCGTGAGCATTTTGAATTTCAATCTTGAAATTCAACGGAGGACAAATTAACAACTAGTACAAATAATAACGACAGTAAGCTAGCAATTTTCTCAATAAATCTAAGACAAACTATACTAACCACGGAAGAGGAAGTTCCTTTGAAAATTTTATTGAAAAAACAATTATTCCTACCTGAAAATTAAAATAAAAAAAAAAGCGTCCAGACGTTAACAACGACACCGTTTTAGATAGAGGTTAGCAAGGCCAGTCATTCCGGCAACACAATTTACCGACGAAAGGATTGCAGCACCAACTGCACCATGGATACCTACTCCCTTCTACTTGATAATCCCCCGTCACAGTTGGCCGTTGTGGCATTACTGTTGCTGGTGTCGTCGTCGTCTCAACAAACACATCTCTCGTTGCAGTAAGTTGTTGAACCGATACAAAAAGAAGCAGTATCGCTAAGAAGATTGTTGGAATAAGTTGCTTCTGATTTTCCCACTTGAAAGCCACCATGATTTTTTCTCACAGAAAGAAGCTATTTCTATTGTAAAATAATTAGCCTCTGTGTTGTTAATATACGAATATGAGAAATTAACTTTCTTATATAGTGCTCTGTATAGTGGTATATTCTGCAATAACAAACTTCGGTTTTTTACTCTATCAGTATTACCTTCTGTTGTAACAAAACCCTAAGTTCTATCCCTCGTCTTCAGCCGTACCAAACTTCCTTATTCATTGTTAACTCTTCTGTTGTGCAAATAATAATTAATTCATATAGAGAGATCAAAGTATATGATTCATTTTAATTTTTAACAGTATATTACTAGCTAATATAAACACAAATTAGTTATTAATAATTCACCATATGGAAATAATTTGTTAATTATATCCTCTTAGCTATGTGATACAATAATCATACGCATATACATATCTGTGATCTTTCTTAGTTTATTTGGTGATTAGGGGGAATTATGGAGTGAGAGATATATGGGCCGACCTAGTAACGCACAAATTATTTGGTTCCAATAACTCAAATTGGTAGAAAAAATTTGTTAAATTTTTATCTCTTACACACACCCCTCAAATGAAAGTCGGTCGTCTTACATGTTACCATTCAGAGAAAAAAAAATATACTTCTATAATTACAATTTGGTACCTGAACTTTTATAGATTGACACTTTAATATCTAAAGTTTTCGAAGATTTCATAATGATAACAACCTTGACTAATACGGAACACAAAGGACGATTTCTTTATTGATTCGGAGTTCGGATCACCACCACCACGTCCACCACAACCATATCCATCGTTCTTCACGAAGAACAATCACAAAAAAAGACGCATTTTCAAGGGAGAGCTAAATCCGCTTCCATGGATGAAGCAAATCATATGTCCTCGACATATCTTGCATGTCAGGCCCATAAAGCCCAGTTTCGTTGACATCGTATCCCATCACTGCGTACCCACGGCCGCCTTCTCGTTCAACGTACGCCACAAAGGAAAGACGGCCGTCTTCCAACGCGAGGCGGCACCAAAAAACCGCCGGCCGGAAAAGGGTGCTGTCCTCGAACTCCCAGTGGTAGACCTCGCCGGAGTTCACGGCGAGGGCCCCGAGGTCGTCGTCTACGGATTCACAGTGGACTATCAGCGTCTTCTTGCTGCCCATCTTGTTGGTGATGTTAATGATCTTCGCGTCACTGATTAACGGCCGCCGTGCCATTACAACAACCGTAATAATAATAATGATCATTGTCGTCGTCACCATCGTCATACGTATATATTAATTATACGGTAAACCTTTTTATCTCCCTCTTAATTGTGATGGTGATGATGATGTGGATAATATAATAATTGTATCGTAACTCCTTTTTATACATGAATCATGATCACAGTGTCCACCGTCGCTCGTTTCTTAGGGTAGCATACGGCTCTCTCTGCTGTCTTGATCAGTTGTGGATCCACGTAACTCGGCCGGTAGATTCCATGCATGCGGTCTTCGGCGTTTTTTTTATACATAAATTATATTGTATTTAGGAAAAGACATAGTACGATATCTCCCAGAAAATGAGAATGAATACTGGAGACATGAATTTGATTTCAGAAAAGAAAAGAAAAAAAAAATAGATGGGAGAGATTTAGGAGAAATTTTACAATGCTATATAGTATTGGTGCTATAGGTTTTTGTCTTTATGGTACAACTTAAAATTGTACATTTACGTTATGGTACAACTTCATATTGTACCTATACATTTTGTACAAATTCTTTTATGGTACAACTTGAACTTGTATCTTTATGTGATGGTACAATTTCAAGTTGTAAAGTTGTACCATAACATAACGGTACAAATTGCTTTATGGTACAACCTAAACTTATACATTTAATGTTATGGTACAACTTTGAGTTGTACATTAAAGCACCAATGCTATATAGCATAGTAGAAGTGCTCGAGATTTAGGCACATCTTGAAAATCAGTATAGCAGAGGTTACAAATAGGCCGGATTTATGGGTTCGTGATCAGATTAAATAGATTCATGCATTTATGTATCAGAATATCGTGGATATTTACATCGTCCAAGTGACATCTAACTTTTCGATCATCCAGAAAGTTTTTTTTGGAAAAGTTTTGGTACTAAACTGTCGTTCTATAAAATATCTAGGTACCAATTTTAAATTTTGGGATTCGTTTTTGGGTAAAAAATCAAACTTTAGGTTCCAAATTGTAAAATACATATATACTAAACTATAATTTTACAACAATTAATGAATCGTCCAATCTATTGGATTTGAATTAAACGATTTGAATTTAAATGGATTGAATTAATTGGAGATTTTTTTTTAAATGGAGTTGGATTCAAATTGCCACAAGTAAATAGGGATGGTAATGAGTAGAAGGTTAAGCGCAAAAGCGGAGCGTAAGAACATAACTTTATATTAATCATGGAACAAAGAATAAAACCGATGTTTGAATGATCAGAGTTGTGTGTGTCGTATCATAATAATGATATGGATGTTTAAAATTGACCTAGATGAACTAGAATGACATAATTAGGGGCGTATTGACTATTGTGCTATATGATGAACCCGACCTGGACGGCTAGCTATATGTTATTATTTGCTTGTCTTAATCATCATTGATCTTGTTTATGCGAATGGTTGCAGATATGTGCCGTCTGTGGGTTTAATTGTGGATATATATTTATGATTGTTCGAGAAAGTGCTTGGATATAATTTTGTATTATTGTTGTATAGGGATTGATAAGTGGAAGAGTACTTTTCAGGGTGACATGCATGATGATGTTAAGGAGGATGACATGTATAAGGGTTTATCGATTAATCTCTTCGAAAACTAATCATCTTCCAACCTATAAATGGTGAAATCTCGACAATTTTATTTACTATTAGATTCTATATGAAATGGTAAATATACGAGACTACGAACTTGTTCTTTCATCATTATTTTACAAGATATAAGTCATAATTTTGTAGTTTTGACACATTTTGATCCTCTGAGAAATTGAATGTGATAAATTGTCTCTTGTTTCTAATGAAAGCTTATACAACATCCCAAGGGTTAGGGTTTTCCTGGAGCATAAGCACAACGTACAACATGGCTGTATTGTATGTATTCTTCCCAATGATCCTTAATGTATTTTTTTTTTTTTGATGAGGATGATGAACTTTTATTAAATAAGAGAAAGGAAAAGAGTACAAAGATGGGATCATCACTTCACAAGCAGTGAAAGTGATTGGTGATCTTAAACCAGAAAAACAAAGGATAAACAGAGAGACAAAACATAAAGTAGCAGAAAAAGCACCACAAAGATGCACAGAGCCAAACGCTTAAGAAACTACCACAACAGATCACACAAGCTACACCCAAAGCATCGCAGCCATCCAAAACAGCAGAACACAGCTTGCCGATAATGACAGCAGAGAAACTCCATCCAAAGAGAGTCCACGGTCTGCCTACGATGACCAAGATCTCAGCCAGTTTTTACCCTGCTCCTTATTGACTTTGCCGCGAATCATACTCCTTAATGTATGTTTAGTATTGATTGACTGATTTGGGCTCATGCTTACAAGCACGCATTTCGTCTTCCATATTGGTAATTCTTATAGCATTGGGTTGTCCAAATTGCCTTTCCAGCTAGCTCATCCCACATCGCCCGGTAGATTGTGTTGTGCTTTGAAACTTTTGAACCTGGATAAAACAGTACTAGCGGAAGTTAATCCAATATTGAAGTCGAACAAAAACGAGAAAAGTGGGAACAAAAATAAGACACGAAATTCATCTGAAAAAACCCCTCTAAAGTGGAGTGAGAAAAACCACTTGTTGGATAAATCGTAAATCCATTATGATCAAAGAATCATCTTCAGTGTACAAAGTTTTGGAGTAATTAAGTACAAAACTCCCAACCTTAAGGAACTCAACTAATGATGGCAATTTGAATCCAACTCGTTCCAATCCATTTAAAAAAAATCAAACTAATTCAATTCATTTAAATCCAAATCTATTTAATTCAAATCCAATGGATTTGGTGTTTCGTAGAATAGAATGTTGTAAAAAAATTATGGTCTAGTACATATAGAATGACATTTTACTACCTAAACATTTTCAAAAATTTTAAATTAACCCAAAAGTTAGACACCATTTGTATCTAAGAATCCACAAGCCTGATCCATAAATTCATGAATCTATTTAACCCGATCCACGAACTCAAAAATCCGAACTATTTTATCACCTCTACAACAATGATATTAATAAAGATATGCCTAAATTTGTCCGATCTAGAAATTATTTTGATAAAAGTCAAATCAATTTAAGTATAAATAAAACGGCCAGGACGACAACAAATGAAGTCAGCGAGAGAGAGAGAGAGAGCCGTACGCAGTCCGAAGAAAAGAGCTAGCGACGGTGGACACCGTGTGATATACCAAAAACCCACATCTTTACCGCATCACTCGTCGGTCATGTATAAAATAGGACTTGTGGGCAATTATTATTATTATGATTATTATTATCACAATTAAGAGGGAGAGAAAAGGGTTAATTACCATATAATAATATATATGATGAAGCAGCAGCTGGTGACGACGACAATGATCATTATTATTATTACGGTTGTTCTTATGGCACGGCGGCCGTTAATCAGTGACGCGAAGATCATTAACATCACCAACAAGATCGGCAGCAAGAAGGCGCTGATAGTCCACTGCGAATCCGTAGACGACGACCTCGGGACCCTCGCGGTGAACTCCGGCGACGTCTACCATTGGGAGTTCGAGGACAACACCCTTTTCCGGCCGGCGGTTTTTTGGTGCAACCTCGCGTTGGAAGACGGCCGTCTTTCCTTTGTGGCATACGTTGAACGAGAAGGCGGTGGTGGGTACGCGGTCATGGGATACGATGTCAACGAAACTGGGCTTTACGGCCCTGACATGTATGATGAGTGGAGGAAATATGATTTGCTTCATCCATGGAAGCGGATTTAGCTCCCTTGATTCAACTACGAATATTAGTTTGGTGTATGTTAGTTTGGTGTATGGCCATATATGTTGTTACTCATATATTAAATGAGTTAATTTATATATTCATACTATATAATAATATTTTGCCATAAATCCGAGCTAAATCAGGATCAAATGATCGGACCATGAACTATTTACCCATTTACTTGACCGGACCAAGAGATGTTAAACCAGGTCGACAACCATAGTTTTGATTAATTGGGAGATATATAGAATCATAGAAATAGAATCGTGAAAGCAACCATACAAAGCGATGGAGAATAAAACGAGGAAGAAGATAAAAATATAAATAAGTACGAGAGATACGGGGAAGGAAAATAGTGTTTTTCTAGTGTCAAATGGATTTGATTAGTGGATTGTTGAATTAATGAATTGAGATCGTATGGATTGGTGGATTGAATCTAAATTGATCAGTTGGTTGATTCGTTTAGTGTTGACGTTGCTCGTTCAACGGCTACAATGGAGAAAACCTTCTCAACAATGAAACATGTGAACACTGACTTGCGTAACAAAATGAGCGATGAATTTCTCAATAATTGCTTAACTATTATATTTCAAAGAGAGAATATGCTATTGGTATGGATGAAAAATTCATTATTGATGAATTCGCTAGATTAAAATACTGTAGTGTACAATTGACATTGTAAAGAAAATCAGGGTTCTTATATTTTTTTTCTGATATCTATTTTTCTAATGAAATGACGCACAATTTTCTACTATGTACTGGATCCGTTGTTTTATACATGCATATAGGTAGCTGTACCTGTACCAGACACACCCACTATAAAATATAGAAAGCTGGATAAGCTAGTAGTAAATGCGCTATGATCTAGGAATCATCTTTAGAGTACACAGTTGTCGAGTAAGTAAATATAAAGAAAAAATACTTAAGAATAAAACAAACGCTCAGGACGATTCATAGAATCTAGCTACCGGCCGAGTAACCTCGAGACACAGCAGAGGAGAGCCGTACGCTAGAGCAGAACGACGGAAGACACTGTGATACCCAAAAAAAAAAAAAAAAACCATCTTTGCGCATCACTCGTCGGTCATGTATAAAAAGGAGTTGTGAAGAATTATTATCACCATTAGTCACCATATAATAATAATAATAATAATAATAATAATAATAATATTTGAGGACGATGAGCAGGAGGAAGCAGCAGCTGGTGACGACGACAATATTGATCATCGTTATCACGATTGTTCTTATGGCAGTAGTAATAATCAGTGACGCGAAGATCATTAACATTACCAACAAGATGAGCAGCAAGAAGGCGCTGATAGTCCACTGTGAGTCGTTAGACGACGATCTTGGGGCACTCGCCGTGAACTCCGACAGCGTCTACCATTGGGAGTTCGAGGACGGAACCTTTTCCCGGCCGGTGGTTTTTTGGTGCAACCTGGCGTTGGAAGATGGTCGTCTTTCCTTTGTGGCATACACTGAAGGCGGTGCTGGGTACGTAGTCTTGGGATACGATGTCAACGAAACTGGGATCTATGGCCCTGACATGTTTGATTTTCAGAGGACATATGATTTGCTTCATCCATGGAAGCGAATTCAGTTCTCTTGAAATCCGTCTTTTTTTGTGATTGTTCTTCGTCAAGAATAATGAATATGGTTGTGGTGGTGGTGGCGGCGGTCAGCGGGTTGGACTGATAGACATGGATCCCGTGGAAAAAACGTGCGTCACGCACTCGTTTTGAATTCCATCGGGATTCGTCAAATCCTTACCAACCCGGTAAAAACTGGTTTCGATCTAGCTTCAATATGCTTCAACTCGGTCAAAATTCAGCAAAACCAGCAAGATTGGGAAGTTAATGAGCTGTGTTTGAATTTTTATAATATGTTGGATTAAAGTACGAATTATAATTTTGGTGTATTGTTATATGTTGTTACTCATATATTAAATGGGTTAATTTACATACGCATGAACAATATAATAGTTTTTTTCACATATCTTAGCTAAATCATGCTAAAACGGTCGAACCATGAACTCTTCACTCACTTACTCGATCGACCCAAGAGAGGTAAACCGGATTGACAACCTTTGTTTTGGTTAATTGGGAGATAGAACCATAGAAATAGAATTGTGAAAACAACTATGCAACAATGGAGAATAAAACGAGGAAGAAGATAAAATATAAATAAGGAAGAGATATTGGGGACGGAAAACAATATTGTTTTCTAGAGTGTCAAATGCATTGGGTTTATCGATTGATGAATTAACAAATTTGTATCAGATGGATTGATGGATTTATAAATTTGATCAAATGGAATATTGGCGGGTTGTATTCATGGATCCAGGTGACATCCATACCTTTATATAAATTTTGAAAGTTTAGATATTGAAATGTCATTATTAAAAATCTTACAATATACGCCCTCCAAGGTGTGGCGGGGGGGGGGGGGGGTCATTAACGTGCATCCCCCATGAGGTGATCAAGACATTGAACGTTATACGCCCTCCAAGGTGTGGCCAGGGGGTGATCGACATACACACCCCATGGTGTGGTCAGGAGGCCATCAACCTAGCTAGCACCCCTATGATGCAATATTGCAATACTAGAGGGTAACGTAGTTAAAGGGACGATGGATATGGCCGAATTTGGTCAACGCAAGAAGGCCACATGGTGTTGTCAAAGGGGGGCATCAACATGCACCCCTAGTATGTCGAGAAGGTATACATTCAGCTAAGTCTGGGAAATGGTGGAAACGTGTGCGACACATATGGAAAAAAATTTGGCCGAGTATGCCGCTCCCATTGTGGTGAATTATTTTTGTCATTTTTTTTTACCTTGGGTGATCCAGAAACGCACCTATGTGTGGTAAGGAGGTCTTCATGCCGTCATTTTTCTCAACTAACGAGCAAAGCTAATGAGGAGCTATCAAGTAGGAGAGGGCCAAGACTGATGATGGTGGCACATCCAACGTTAGTTAGAGAAATTGAGAGGGTAACCGTTGCTCCATTTCAGCTGAGCAATTTCTCGAGGCAGATACTTCCGGTGGCCATAAATATGAGGTGAAGATGACAGAGAAGGGGTTCGCAAAAATCACAACTCGACACCACTTGTCAAGTAATATCTTTTTCTTTTCTTTCCTCTGCAAATTCTAGCCATTAGTTGTAGTTCTGGAGCTCTCACTGAACCTCCATATATAAGGAGTAGGGTAATTTAATGTAGATATGTCTCGTGAGTTACAAAATATCGAACATCTGTTTAAACTTTGTTCAAAGAAGTGTGAACTATGTTTATTTTATAGTTGTTCAAAAAGTTAAGGTGCAAATTCAATTTTGTCAACTCTAATTTTCTCGCCGAAAAACAAACTATTTAATATAATTAATCCATGAATTATTTATGAATCCGATTTCTTCGTCACATCTACTAGAGTGGTGTTAAAGATATACCTAAATTTGTCCGATCTAGAATTTGTTTTCTAAATTTCTACTAGAGTGGTGTTAAAGATATAGAAACCGATATATCTTTTCCTAAATTTCTACAATTTAAGTATAAACAAAACGGCCAAGACGATTCATGGAATCTACCGACCGAGTAACCTGGAGCCACAATGCATAATACCACAAATGAAAACAACATAAGAGCCGTACACTGCCCGAAGAAAAGAGCGACGGTGGACACTGTCATACCAAAACGGCAAAAACCCACATCTTTGCCCATCACTCATCGATCATGTATAAAAAGGAGTTGTGGGCAATTAATTACCATACAATAATAAATGATTACGATGGGCAGGAGGAAGCAGCAGCTGGTGATGATGACGATAATGATCGTTATTACGATTGTTCTTATGGCACTAATCAGTGACGCGAAGATCATTAACATTACGAACAAGTTGGGCAGCAAGAAGACGTTGATAGTTCACTGTGAATCCGTAGACGACGACCTCGGGGTCCTCGCCGTGAACTACGGCGACTTCTACCATTGGGATTTCGAGGACAGCTCCCTTTTCCGGCCGGTGGTTTTTTGGTGCCGCCTCGCGTTGGAAGACGGCCGTCTTTCCTTTGTGGCGTACATTGAACAAGAAGGCGGTGGTGGGTACGCAGTCATGGGGTACGATGTCAACGAAACTGGGCTTTATGGGCCTAACATGTATGATGAGTGGAGGAAATATGATTTGCTTCATCCATGGAAGCGAATTCAGTTCCCTTGAAATTGTTCTTCGTGAAGAACAAATGGATATGGCTGTGGTGGTGGTCTGAATCAATAAAGTAATCGTCTTTTTTCTCCCGTTTTGGTTAAGGTTGTCAATTTGCGGGTTGGACAGTTGACAGACTTGGTGGAAAAAAGTGTGTCACACACTCGTTTTGAACACTTCATATGGATTCCATCTAACCGGTAAAAAAAAAAGAAGGTTTCAATCTGGCTTCAATCTGCTTCAACTCGGTCAAAAACTCAGCAAAACCAGTAAGATTGGAGATTGATTAGTACATTGTGTTTGAATTTTTATTATATGTTGGATTCAAGTACGAACGGTTATTTTGGTATATTATTATATGGTGTTATTCATATATCAAATGAGATACTTTATATATGTATGAACAATATAATAGTCTTTCCAATATATCCGAGCTAAATCAAGCTGAAATGGTCGGACCATTAACTTTTCACCCGTTTTTCACCCACTTGTACAACATTGGTTTTGGTTAATTGGGAGATAGAATCTTAAAAATAGAATCGTGAAAGCAACTATGCAAGCGATGGAGAATAAAACGAGGAAGAAGATATAATATAAATAAGGAAGAAGGATATGGGGAAGGAAGAGAGTGTTTTCTAATGCCAAATGGATTTGATATTTATGGATTTGTGGATTAATGAATTTGGATAAAATGAATTGGTGGATGTATGAATTGGATCAAATGGAATATTGATGGATTGGATTTATAGATCTAGGTGACATCCAAACATTGGACCATTGCATAAAAATTAAAAAAGTTTAGGTACCGAAATGTCATTATGAAAAAATTTAGGTATCCATATTAGTGGATTGATAGATTGTTGTAAAATTATTGTTTTGTCACATCCGAAACCTAAAGTTTGATTTTTAACAACATAAATTACCAAATTACAAGTTGGTGCCTGAATTATTATAGAACATTACTTTAGTAATTAAACTTATCAAAACTTTCAGAATGATCCAAAAGTTAGATGTCACTTGAATCCAAAAATCCATGACAAGTCTGTTTCATAAATCCCTGAATCTATTTAATTCATTCCACGAATCCATAAATCCAATCTACTTGTCACCTAAGATCATAGGCGGAGGGACAGGGTCTGGGAGATGTCAAATGACACTGGTAAATTCTGGGCTAAGAAAACCCATATGTATGTATAGATCAAGTATACTCGTGACTTCTATGGGATATAAGAGTGTTCTACCACTATACTACAAGTCATATCTTGTTTGATCAGGAGAAGTTGTCGTGTCTTACTAGATTTTGTTCACTGAGTTTAGTTTCGCTCATGACACCATTATTCGACAACACAACTTGTTGGGTATTATCATGATGTTATGGCTTATGAAAGATTTGTTGAATTTTAACTGAACTTTGATGAATTCTCTCAAATAATGGTAAAGACAAAACTTCATCAATCATATCCGTAAGTTTAATTTGTTTGCTTCTGACGCTAGTTTTGACTTTACGCGTTGCAATTGCAAGTGTAGAAAGAGCAGTTTTAGCTTTTGAGCTATATTAGCCTCGTAGATGAATTGGTGGCTAGTCTATTAATAATTGTTTAGTTGGATACCATTGGGAAAAAAAAAACTCTTACTTAATAAGAGTGTAAACAACAAATGTATTTTTTCGTTTCTTTCAAGAGTATGAAAACGCATCGAAAACAATGACTGTATTAATTGATTATTTCTTTATTACCTATGAATGAATTATTTGGATATTATCAATTTCTTAATTATATTTATTTAATAGTAATTTATTCATTTATTGCCCAAGGTCTTGCATGGAATCTACCGGCCTAGTAGCCTGGAGCCACCATGCAAAATACCACAAATGAAGACGGCAGAGAACCGTACGCCACCTCAAGAGCAGAGCGACGGAGGACACTATGATCATGTATAAAAAAAGAAGTTGTGGGCAATAATAACTGTTAATTAATTGCCATCGCAATTGAGAGAGGAAGAAAAGGAGCTACGTACGTACGTACCATAATGATCACATTGATGAGCAGGAAGAAGCAGCAGGTGGCGATGAACATACTGATCGTTATTATTATTACTCTTGTTCTTATTATGGCACCGCCGTTAACCAGTGCCATGACGCGGATCGTTAACATCAACAACAAGGTGAGCAGCAAGAAGACACTGATCGTCCACTGTGCGTCCGCCGACGACGACCTCGGGGCCCGCGCCATGAACTACGGCGAGGCCTACAGCTGGCATTTCGACGACCACCACGTCATCCTGCAGACGCTGTTCTGGTGCCACCTGGCGTTGGAAGACGGGCGTCTTTCTTTCGATGCGTACCATGAAGCGCAACCGCAAGGTGGGTTTCCGGTGATGGATTACGATGTGAATGAAACTGGGGCCTATGGCCCTTTCTCATGGATTACCCTGTCGTGGAGGAGAATTCGGCTCCCTTGAAATAATCCACCGTGGAATATTGGGGTTTTTTTTTTCTTCTCTTCTTTTCCGGTTGATTTGAAGTTTCCGTTACCGTCTTCTGTGGCTTTGGATCAAATGGATTGGTGAATTAGATTAATTAGTCAAGTAACCTTCAAATATTTGACCATCATGTAAATTTTTAAAAGTTTTGGGTACTGAAATGATATCCTGAAAGATTTAGGTGTTAATTGCCATCTATACGAGGATAGCGAGGACCTGAGTTTACAAATTGAAAATTGAGATGAGGATGGGTTTAGCAAAATTTACCACAAACCCGTCTCATTGCCATTCATATCTAGTTGTGATAATTTGAATCCAACTCATTTCCAATCCATTAAAAAAATTAATTAATCGAAAAGTTAGATGTCGCTTGGATCCAATAATCCGCGACAACTCTTATCCATAAATCAACCCATAAATCCAACCTATGCCCAAATTTCTCCTATCTAGCTAGAAATTGTTTCCTAAAATCAAATTCATTTATCTCGTATCCATCTCATTTTCCAGGGAATCTACCGGCCGACTAACCTCGAGCCACAGTGCATAATACCACAATTGAAGACATACCACATAGAGCCGTACGCCACAGCAAGCGAAGAAGAGCGACGGATATGGCATGCACTTTTGTACATTACTCATCGATATCACGTACGTATAAAAGGAGAGTTGTGGCCAATGACTGTTGATTGCCATCGCAACTAACAGAGGAAAAATCACAATGACGAGCAGGAAGCAAGAGCAGCAGGTGACCATCACGGTGATGATCATTGCCTTCGTTATTATCATGGCACGGCGGCCGTTAGTCAGCGACGCGCGGATCGTTAAAATTACCAACAGGATCAGCAGCAACAATAAGGCGCTGATAGTCCACTGTGCATCCGCAGACGACGACCTCAACGGCCGCGCCGTGAGCTCCGGCGACGTCTACACTTGGAGCTTCGGGGACAACTACCTCTTCCCGCAGACGCTCTTTTGGTGCGACATCGCGCTGGAAGACGGGCGTCTTTCTTTTGTGGCGTACCATGAACAGAAACCCGACGGTGGGGACCTGGTCCTGGGATACGACGTCAATGAAACTGGGCTCTATGGGCCTGGCTTGTATCAGCCGTGGAGGAGGATTCGACTCCCTTAGAAATTCAATCGTTCATTTTGTTTCGCAATTTTCACATATTTTCGTTATTAATAAAAATGTTCTTTCAGTAGTAGCCGATAAAACGAACATGGTCGCACTAGATGAAGAATCAACCGACGGATCAATTTGTATTGTGCGTTTATCTCTCTTTCTAGCTACCAGCTTCTCTGCTGGCAATTTTGCGAGGAAAGAAACTTCACACTCCTGACTATTAACCATATGAGTGGGGCATGATATCATAGTTCATTTTTCAAAGAAATGCATATCATATATAGCTTTCGAAGTCTACAGGTAAACTCTTGAGCAAGTTTGTAAATATTTTCTTCATCATAAGACATGGAAAGAACTTTCAGGATCTAGTGCAGCACTCAACTGAAACAATCTAAATGATGAGTCAACGCTTGTAAATATTTTCTTCATCAAAGAAAACTAGCTCCCGACGGACTGGCGGAGGATTCCTTTTCGGATCCGCTCGTCTCCACGTTCTTATTTTGTTTTGGGTGGATGGGGGAAATTTTTTAAGTTATGACTTGGAAAGGTGAGCATTATTCTTTTATATTTTAGACTTTTAGTTTTTAATTTTTTCCTAATGAAAATCATTGAGGCTAGAACTTTCATGCCAAAGTTTGATTAGTGGTTTGGGTATGTTCATCTAAACCATCTTTTAAGTCACACAAATTCTTACTATCGAATAAAATTGACAGAATATTAAATAGCATTGGACTGAATACCTAAAATAAAAAAATTCATAAGTGTTGTATTAATCAATCGAAACAAGAGTCATCAGTTCATACTCTTCACTATTTCTCACTAAACTATCTTCTTGTTGATTCATCTAATCCCTCACAACGGTCAGTCTCCTATTGTTTTAAATCGTAATTAAAATTTTTCACAGATAAATTAGATTAATTGTGCTCTTCAAAACGATATTCACTTTTATATATTTTGAATAAAAAAAATTTTGAGACATTTAGTATCAGTCTATATCATAATAATAATATTTGGTATGACATAAGATCACACAACGTGGTATGAACATATGAGAGACTGTCACCACATTGTATTAGGAATATACGAACTGTCACTGCATTCATCATTGTGTACCACCAGTTACCACCCTGGACCAGGGTGGTATGGAGTGGATGGTACATTTTGGTCCTGTAGTTTTTGCAGAAATTTGTAGATCCAATGACCACGACGAACTTGTTCCATCTGTGCAAAAAAATGTAGTAAAAAATGGTGGTGCCAAGATGGTAACGAGTGATATGATTTTTTTGTCAACATATATTGAATGGATTTCATTTTGTAGATCACAACGAACTCGTTCCGTCTGTGAAAAAAAAAAATGAATCCAAGTTAGAACGAAAAAAATAAGAGTTTATTAAGAAAATTAGTGAAATTAAAAAGACCGCATGCATGGAATCTACCGGCCGAGTAACCTGGAGCCACAGTGCATAATACCACAAATGATCCAGACAGCAAAGAGCCGTACGCTACCCGAACAGCAGAAAGAGCGACGGAGGAGACTGTAATATTATAGAACACGCCATCTTTGTACATTTACTCATCGATCACGTATAAAAGTTCATTTTGTGGACAATTATTATTATCACCATTAATTACCATCACAATTAAGAGTGGAGAGAAAAAAAGGTTACACGATGACGCTGGCGACGACGGCGATAATGATGATCATTGCTGTTGTTCTTATGGCACGATCTTTAATAATGATCAGCGATGCGCGGATCATCAACATCAAGAACAAGATCGGCAGCAAGAAGGCGCTGATAGTCCACTGTGAATACGTCGACGGCGACCTCGGGGCCCTCGCCGTGAGCTCCAGCGACGTCTACCGATGGGAGTTCGAGGGCGACTTCCGTCAATGGCCGCCGGCGGTTTTCTGGTGCCACCTGGCGTTGGGAGACGGCCGTCTTTCCTTTTTGGCATACATTGAACAACAATGTGCTGCTGGGGACGCAGTGATGCGATACGATGTCAATGAAACTGGGCTGTATGGCCTTGAGTTGTATAATACGTATAAGGGATATGTGCTGCTTCGTGCGTGGAGCCGAGTTCAGCTCCCTTGAAAATCCACCGTGGAGAGAGACTTCTCTTTTCTTTTTTTTTTCTCTCCTGTCGGTTTTGGAAATTTCAGTTGCCGTCTTTTGTGGTGGTATCATCTCTTTTTTTTTTTTTTTTTTGGTTCCGTTTTGGTTAATAAAGATGGTATGGTTATACTGGAGATGTTAAGCAGTGAAGTAAGGACTAGATAGGCGCTAACATGTACTCCTGTGTGTTAGCACCCTGCTAACACTAATTATAAGAGTATTTTGATAGTTAATTACTATTATACGTCAGTTAATTATTAAAATAGATCGATCTGGTTATATTCTTCAATTATATGTCGCGACGATCAGTCTCCCTGCTCATCTATCGTCGCTTCAGAAAACCTCGCGCTCCGTCATGATGACCACAACGATCAGTCTCCCACGTAATCTGTAATCTATAATCTCCTCGATATAGTGAAACTGGCTCTCTCTCGAGTCTCGCCCATGGACTAGCTAACACACATCGTGTTATAGTGAACCACGTAAATCGTGTGTCTGTGTTTTTCGATTCCCGCTTTCGTATTCCTGTTTTATCGATTCCGGCAATTTCCCGACCCGTAGCAGCGCGTTTATAACACTGATGATGGGGATGAAATGATTTTACGAATTGGAAATTGATAGCAAAATTCATCACAAACCCACCTCATTGCTATCCATATCTAGCGGTGACCGTTTGAATCCAACTCATTCCAATTCTTAAAAAAAAAAAAAATCTAACTAATCCACTCCCTTAAAAAAATCCAAATAATCAAATTCATTTATATCTAAATCCGTTAAAATCAAACCAGATAGATTGAACGATTGATAAATTGTTGTAAAATTATAGATTAGTACATATATCACAAACCTAAAGTTTGACTACTAACCAAAAAAAAAAAATGTATATAGAACCACACTTTATAAGTAACCAAAACTTTTCAAAACTTTCAGAATGATCGAAAAGTTAGATATCGCTTGGATCCAATAATCCACGAAAACTCTTATCCATAAATCCAACCTATGCCCCAAATTTCTCCCATCTAGAAATTGTTTCCTAAAATCAAATTCATATATCTAGTATATATCCATCTCATTTGGGAATCTACCGGCCGAGTAACCTCGAGCCACAGTGCATAATACCACAAATGAAGATATATAGCCGAGAGCCGGATGGCACTGTCATGTCAAAGACCCCATCTTTAATTTGTACACATTACTCATTAATGGTCACGTTACGTATAAAAGCAGTTGTGGCCAGATTGCCGTCGCAATTAACAGAGGAAAAGAAAAGGGCTAACCATCCATAATGCCACAGAGCAAGCAACAGCAGCCGGTGATCACCACCATAACGATCATTGCAACAATCGTTATCATGGCTGCACGGCGGCCGTTAGTCAGCGACGCGCGGATCGTCAACATCACCAACAGGGTCGGCGGCATGAAGGCACTGTTAGTCCACTGTGCATCCGCCGACGACGACCTCGGAGCCCGCGCCGTGAACTCCGGCGAGGTCTACAGCTGGCATTTCGAGGACAACTGGCAGGTCCTGAGGAACGCGCTTTTCTGGTGCAACCTCGCGTTGGAAGACGAGCGTGTCTCTTTTCAGGCGTACGTTGAGCGAGCAGGCCGTGGTGGGTACGCTGTCCTGGGATACGACGTCAACGAAACTGGGGTGTTTGGCCCTGACATGAACGACATGTCGAGGACGTATGTGTGGCTTCATGCATGGAAGCAAATTCAGCTCCATTGAAAAGCCGTGGGTTCGATATATTGATAAAAAAAACACTACTACGTATTTGAAATACATGTAATTCAAATTCGTTGTTTGGATACTCATTTGTAATTTGTTTGTATTTGTTTTTTAATTTTATGTTTGCTTATTTTAATTTTGAGTTTTCTTGTCACTTACTACAAATCTTGATAAATTACAGTTTGCTATCCAGATTTATTTTTATTACAATTCAGTACCCAAACTTTTAAAATGTTGCAAAAATGTCCTGAAATTTTGATGATAAAATTACATTTTTGGTGCCTTTAAAATGTTTTGCCTCACGCTACAGTACCTAAACTTTTAATATTTTACAAATAGGTCCAATCTTTTGTTAAGAGGTATTTCGAATCACTGGTTGTTGAAATGTATTTGAAGTTGATCACGAGTAATACACTAGACATGTATTTGGAAATCACCTCATGAATTCGAAACAAATCCAAATACCAAATGTAATTAATATCCAAACACAAATTGATATTTGGAAACCCAAATCACAAATAACTAATGCAAATCATTATATCCAAACGCGCGCGCACCCTTTGGTTTTGTTATTTTTGGTTTGATCTTGTCAAATCACTTACTTAACGTTTATTTGGTTAACTGCAAACTGTTGAATTAGATAGCTTGTGGAGCTCAAAACTTGACATCTCCTTAGAGCATCCACATCACTACAACTGCAAAACCAATTGCATATGATGTTTTTATTTTTATCTAAAAATTCATGCAATCTAATTCAGCTTTATTTCATTGCACCTACATCAATGCAATTCACTTGCAATTGCATATATGTGAGTTTAATCTTAATAATATTGATAATTTATAGATGTTATTAGCCTTTTTGACAATATAATCCTAACAATATGGATAATTTATCGATGCTACTTGGTTCGTACTTAATTAACTTGGTAATGACCTAAACAATAGGATCTCCGCAGGTAAGTCAATTACAAATTGGTACCTGAATTTTTATAGAACAACCTATTGATATCCAAAAGTTAGATGCCACTTGATTTATGAATTTATGAACCGGTCCATAAATTTGTGAATCTATATATAATTCAATCTACGAATCCATGAATCAGATCTATTTGTCACCTGGAATGTTATCAAAGATATCATCTAATTTTCTAGGAGATATCGTACTCGAGACATTGTTTCCTAAATTTATACAATTTTAAGTATATAAAAACGGCAAAGTCCATGCATCGAATCTACCGGCCGAGTAACCTCCAGCCACAATGCATAACACCACATTCGTGAGCTCGATCTTAGTAACCTCGCGTTGGAGGCAAATTCGTGAGCTCCATTGAAAATGCCGTGGATCGCTTAATCAGTGCGCCGTCGTTTGTTTTATGCAAAAGCCTGTGTGATGCGGCCAGAGATCTTCTTTTTCCTGCTAATACTGTGACCATTACTTTCTGGACTATATGTAAAACATCCATCTTAAGAACTCAAAACTCAAGCTGTACAGTGCTCCTGTAAATATCAGGCAAAGATACTACCGGAACTGCACAAAATCCAGGAGAACTCCACTCCCTATCTGATTAATCTGATTACAGTGAATCCCCCATTCCTTGCAGTGAAACACAAACATCCATCCCCTAATCAGAAAGTAGTACACAACCAGATACTAACCCGCAGTTTAACACGGACAAAAAACTACGTCGCTCTCTTGACAGAGACAGCTGCTCTTGCAATCATGGAAGTATGATAATTACTGCTTCTCTGTTTCCTGTAAGACGAATATACATCATCATACTGGCTCACCTCATTAGGGTCAGCGGTTGCCCCCAATCCAAGCCTTCCAGATCCTAGTGCTCCCGGTTTCCTCTCCACACTTCCATCAGGATAAGTCCCGGTCTCGGGGTCCACTACCTGCAGGTTAGGAGGCGGGGGGATACAAGCTCCGCCTTTGCGTACAGGAGACCGGTCCCTCTCGTAGTCGTCGTAATCATCATCGTCGGATGACTTCATCGGCCCTTCCGACGGGTTGACCTCTCCGATCTCTTTGAAAAATTTGGAGACTCGCTCTAGGACCTCAGATGGGGAAACTGCGGATGGCGGGATCATGGTCGGGATGTCGAGAGGGCTCAGAGGAGAGTACGGGACGCCACTTCCGATCTGCATTTTTCGGACCATCCCGGGGATGAGTCCTGGTGGGAATAAAGGGTATGGTGGTAATTTCTCGGCGAGGGTCGGAGGAGGAGTTGGTAGCAGTGGTGGTTGAGCAGCAGGGATTATGGGCACAGTACCAGCAAAACCACCAGCAGGGACAGAGTTTGCAAGGAATTGCTGGGCAGCAAGTGGCGGCAAGGCGGAGGGTGGGACTTGTTTATCAGCATGCTCCCGCTCATGTTGCTTATCTAGCTGCCAATGTGGAGCACTGTGGTGGTTCGTCGGCTGCTGTGGGAATCCTGCAAAAGAAAATGAGCCTGAGCATATGGTCGACGGTCATCGGATTTTGGGTGTTGCAGACACAATCTTAAGGAGCAGAATATTATACCTGCAGCAGCCATTGAATCGGACAAGTCTCTTGCAGGTCCTAAGATCGAGCTAGTTGGTGCCCCGCTGACCATTTCGGCTTCCAGTGCACGAATGGTATCGTGATCATAAACCTCCTTGGAGCCCCAGAACTGCAGGATTTTCTGTAAGCGTGACTGATTCTCTTCCTTATTCACGGGGTTTTGGTAAATTCTTGCAAGCATTGAACCCAGGACTGGCTTGAATGCAAGGGCCTCATTATCAAGCTCATGAGGATTAGCCCTTCTCTGCAAACTGTAGGGTACAGATCACCAAGAGGTCAAGGAAAAACGATCATCATAAAAAAACCAAAGGAAGAGCAATCACATACAAGATATGGGCTGTTGTAATGTAGAATCCTGGCCCTTCTTTTCAGAGAAGGAAAACTAGAAACTTTGAAGTTCCACAGCTCCATAATCAGAAGATGAAATATCTAAGGGAACCTAACTTCTGCTGAGGTACTCCAAATAAAAGAAAAGGAAACAACAGTAGCATTAGAAATTTTTACCTGTCAAAAAGTATGTCATTAGCAAGGTATATGACATGCAGCTGCCTCTCGGAATCATCCACAGAGAAAATCCTATCTCTCATACCCTCAGCCAAACCAGGTGCAAAAGGAGACCTCTGCATGAACCAAGTCTTCGCCCCTTTAATCGAATCTTTGGTGCCATTCAAACTATTCATCACATTAGTCAACTCCACAGCAACATCAGGCGGAAGTGGACCAGAAAGACCTTTAAACGACTTGACAGACTGATCAAAATCACCAACCCGCACATGTGCCCCAAATGGCGGCTGAGGCGACTGGTGGTGCTGCTGATGCGGATCATAGAATGGCGGGAAACCCTGTTGTTGCATTATCTGAGCAGGAGGATGCATCAATGGAACAGAAGATGAAGGCGGGAAAGGAGCATTGTAAGGACCAGCCGGCGTAGGTCGAGTAGACACCCAAAGCTTAAACCGATAGTAGTTATGTCCCTCGCCACCAAACAAAAAGCTATAAGCCGGATTATCCTGCTGCTTGTCACGAATCATCGCCTCAAATTCTGGCCCATTTTTAGCTGAATACTCGACTAGCTTGTCAATCCGTTTCTGAAGCTCGGGATCAGATGGAGGAGGAGCTGGCGGCGGTGGAACTGAATCATAAGGACCACCACCACCGTGGAAGGGAGATGGAAGGATCGGGGGAGGCAAGTGAGAGGAGAAACCAGGGAGAGGCTGCTGGTGGTGGAGAAGGTGAGGGTGTGGTGGCGCGTGAGGGTGAGGGTGGAGCTGAGGTTGCTGCTGCTGCTGTAAGTGGTGAGGGTACGGGAATTGTTGTTGCATTGAAGGATGAGGCGGCGGAATGAATGCCGGCGGTGGAGGAAACTGCTGGCCTTGATGCTGCGGGTGAAACCCAAATGGCGGCTGTTGTTGTTGTTGTTGCTGCTGCTGCTGTTGTTGGGCATACGCCATTGCTGCAGCAGCGTAATCATGCGCCGGCGGTCGGTCCATAAACCTAAACCTATCCACAATTCCACAGACAATATCTAACTTCTCCCGGAATAAAAATTGTTACTTTCAAAGATTCCTTAGAGCTATAAACGAAAATAATACAGGAAAACTCATCAATCTGTATCCACTATGGCGGCAGTTGTTCTTCTTGGCATTTCACAGTCGGGAGAATCTGAAGGGAAAAGGAAAGGTAGAGGGTGGGAAGGAAGCGAACCTGGACCAGATTAGAGAGGGAGTAGCTTTCTACGTTGATCTCAGCAGAACGATGGAGGCGGTGGGGAGACTACGATAGGCTCGCAGGCACGACTGCCGCCGGTGGCTTTGGATTTGGGAAATTTGCAGAGCTCCGACGAAGGTTGTGGACGTAAGCCGATCGGGATTTTGCCGGTTAGGGATTTGAGAATTTCTGGTTCGTTGAAGTATTGATGGTTCTGCTTCATCTAAAACGGCGTCGTTCAAAGCTGAATTTTTAATAATGGGCTTGGATCTGCAAGCTTAAATGGGCCGACGTAAAGATGAAACTGTATTTGTTTCTGCTCCGCCATCGTAAGAGTTGGGAGCTCTGCTTCTCCAATAAACCCTTCTCCAGTCTCGCGGCGGATCGAATCTTAATTTTGGAGCGAAAAGAGCGACGGCCGGACAATGGAGGACATAGAAGATTTGTTGATCGGGAGCGGCGGAGGCGGGGCTCCGCCTGGATTCCGATTGCCACTCAACACGGTCGCAGTGAAGCCGAAGAAGAATGTTAAGAATGGAGCAAAGCTGAATGGTAGCTTGCTCTCGGATTTGTCTCTCATCTCCACAGTCCCTGGAACTCAGGTTTCGTCTTCTCTTCTTTCTTCTGCTTTTCGTCTAGTCTATGTATGACGTATTGGTTCCTTACTTCTGAGCTTGTTCCTCTGATTCAGACGATATATATCAAGACTTTCGGATGCTCACACAATCAGGCAAGTTATTCTGCTCTCTTTTCGTTTGAATTCATCAATCAGTTTAACTTCTTATGATCAGATTACTATGCCTGGGGGCTCAAATGTTTCAGTTCACACTCGGCTGCTGCATGTTAGCTCTATAGAACTTTGCCCTTCCGAGTCTGATTACTGACTCTAGAGTTCGGATAGACGAAGTAGCAACCAGGACTTTGTATAGGAAATGCAGAATCTCGTCAGCTGGCTTGGCTGGTAATATCTAAGTAGGTGGGATGGTTTATCTAGATGAGAAACATGACACGAAATCATCATGGTTTATTGAGAGTATAAGCTAGAAAAGGAGGAGATGAAGAGAGCAAAGAATGAGTGGAACCCAAAAGGTTATTGGACTTGTTTCCTCGGGTTTCCGAGCTTAGACGAAGAAGTATACTGCGCTGGAGTACGAAAATGAGATGGTGGGAGATACCTTGCACTAGCGAAACTGTAGTTGCTGTGAGCATATGTTTTGCTTTCCGAGAATTACTTGTATAGTTTAGTTCATTAAGAGGTCACCCTGGTATTTTAATTGGGTTGCAGCTGAAGCAGACTGCACTACTATTAAGGATTTAGGATCTGTGGTATGGTTGCGGAAACTCGAAACTCAGACAAAATAAGAAGTGGAGATGTGACATTTGAAACTGGAAAGTGAATCTGCTTTGCAGTAGTTATGAAACTGGAAGCAAAGTTATGTGAAACGTATTCTGTTGACATTTATATATAAGAACTTTTTTTCTTGGACCAGACTAAATGAAAAGCTTCTAATTGTTGCAGAGTGACAGTGAATATATGGCTGGTCAGCTTTCATCTTTCGGCTATGGTCTTAGTGATGATCCCGACAATGCAGATCTATGGCTGATCAACACGTTCGTACCATTACCTTTATCATTCGCTTTGTTGCATTTTTCTTTTTAAGACTATTTTATAGAACTACTTGTTAAGAATGTGCTACTGTCTTCCATAGTGCAGTGTCGTTTTATTTGCACCTGCTACATGAAGCCAAGCTAATTTGTTGCTTGTTAGGGTTAAAAGAATTTGTCCACGAATGTGTCTTTAAGTTCTTTCTTCGAGATAGATTTCCTATAGATCCATTATAGGTAGCCAGTTGCATATATTTGTTCTACTGCTATGTTGAACTTATACGCCCTGACATTATGCTCATAAAAGGGTAATTCATATCCTACTTTCTAGTCTCGACCCTTGTTCCTTTGCATTTCCATGCACCTACCTTCCCTGTGTGGTGGAATATGTAGCGAGAAACAGCAATAGAGTGTTAATGAGTGGGAGGAAGTTCGATGACCCACCACTCTGTTGGGGTTGGCTTGAGTTTTTTGCCATGCAGGAGAGTGGAAGTGCTGAAAGTTTGAACAGAGGTTTACTATGATGAAAGACCCATTCGGGATGTAAAATGTTATAATCTCTTGCATAAGGTTCTTTGTGGTACGTAGTTAGGTACCATTGATGATTGTTTCTTTATGCAGATGCACAGTAAAAAACCCAAGTCAGTCTGCCATGGACACCCTTATCACAAAGGGTAAAAGTGCACAAAAACCTTTAGTTGTAGCTGGCTGTGTACCCCAGGGAAGTTGGAATCTGAAAGAGCTAGATGGAGTCAGTATAGTTGGAGTCCAGCAGATAGATCGTGTGGTTGAAGTTGTCGAGGAGACCCTAAAGGGGCATGAGGTTCGGCTTCTAACTCGGAAGACATTGCCAGCACTTGACCTCCCAAAGGTAGAAAGTTCAAAGTTCATATTCGGCTAATAATTCGACATGATTTATTGCTTCTCTTTTCTTACCCTTTTCTTCTGTAACCTTTTGTCTCTCCTGAGCAAGAGTATTGTTAGTGTAATTCACAACATGTTCTGAATTCTCTCGTTTCTTGAATGTTTTTTACCTTGATCTGCCTACAGGTCAGGAAAAACAAGTTTGTCGAGATTCTTCCAATTAATGTTGGCTGTTTGGGTGCCTGCACTTATTGCAAGACAAAGCATGCCCGTGGTCATTTGGGTAGCTATACCATTGATAGTTTGGTGAGTCCAGAAATGGAATCAGTAGCTTGTTTTCTTTTGTGTTTGATTTTTCTCTTACAGAAATTCAACTCTGCAGGTAGGACGTGTTAAAACAGTTATAACTGAGGGAGTTAAGGAAATCTGGTTGAGCAGTGAAGACACTGGAGCATATGGTACTTTTTTGCATTCCCTCCATCTTTGGTGTTCGAATGGGGATTGTATTTCTGTTCCTTGTCTGGATGACTGCCTTCTAATGAAATGTTACTTCATGTAATCTTGTAGGTCGTGACATTGGGGTTAATCTTCCTACTTTGTTGAATGGCATTGTTGCTGAACTTCCTCCTGATGCGAGCACTATGCTGCGAATTGGAATGACAAATCCTCCCTTTATTCTTGAGCACTTAAAAGAGATAGCAGAAGTTTTACGTCATCCATGTGTCTACTCATTTCTTCATGTACCGGTACAGTCTGGAAGTGATGCCGTGCTGAGTGTAAGTCATCCTTCCTACTCGGTGATGAATGATATTACTTCTGTGCTGTTTGGTGAAGACAGCTTCATGGAAGAAATCTTATTATTTGGTTTGTTTCTTCCCAGGCAATGAACCGAGAGTATACTGTTAGTGAGTTCAGGACAGTGGTAGATACATTGACTGAGCTAGTTCCTGAGATGCATATTGCTACCGATATCATATGTGGATTTCCTGGTTAGTTTTTCTATTTTATTTTCCTTTAATTATGGATTAAGCTTTGCCGCCCTTTTAATTGCTTGCTATTTTGCAGCATCTTATGCTGTAACAATCTGTTGAGTACTTGTTGGTTAATGTTGCTTTTGGGAATGGAAAATATTACTAGCAGTAGCTATGTTGGGCCACCTGCTGATATGCCGAATAGTTAGCAATAATGAAGCCCTAGCAAGAAAGAAGAAGAACTTTTATTTTGTAATATGTTGGAAGAGATAAAAGCATTTTAATCTTATTCTGGTTTTTAAATTTGTGGTACTATATCAGAGTTCGAGCTTGTCTAGAACTGGTGATATTGCTTAGAAAAAGATCAACATTGGACTTGCGAGAAGTGAACTGTGGATAATTTTACCATTTTTTTGGACAATTAATGCCTCTACTCTGTACCAATTATTTTCTGCTTGACTATCATTCGTTCCTGCAATTGAGATATGTACTTCTGGATATTTCAGGTGAAACAGATGAAGATTTTGCTCAAACTGTAAGCCTCATTGAGGATTACAAGTTACCTCAAGTTCACATTTCGCAATTCTATCCTCGACCAGGTGCAATATAGTTTATTTGAAAGTGGATCAATGTTCAATTTCAAGTTTGAAAAAATCAGCTGTCCTTGCATTTGCGTGCATCAACAAGGGAATTGTTTTGCGTCTTAGGGGCAGAAGTCTTAACATCTGGTGTTCTATGGAGAAGTTCTTAGACTATTAAGTCTTGTACATAACTGAAGATGTGTTGTACAGATATATAGGATCAGATATATTTCAGAATAAAGCTTATTACTCCTACAGCAGTGAGGAACTGTTTATAATTGTTGAATTTACAAGTATTAAGATTTACCTTATGTGAAATAGGAACTCCTGCTGCCAGAATGAAGAAGGTTCAGAGTAACATAGTGAAGAAGCGGAGCCGTGAATTAACTGCTGTTTTCGAAGCTTTCACTCCTTACAATGGAATGGAGGGCAGAATTGAAAGAGTCTGGATAACAGAAATCGCAACTGATAGAGTTCACTTGGTAGGCCTATTAGGAATTCTTACTTCGGAATTTTAGATCTCACATCACCTTTTATCTTCTCTGCCAGCTTGACACTGTATAGCCTTATTCTCATTGTGTCTATCCTAACTCCTTCCTTCATTTACTTTTGCTAGGTTGGCCACACAAAGTCATATGTCCAAGTGCTCATAGTTGCTCCACAAACCATGCTTGGATCCTCGGCAATGGTTAAGATAACATCAGTTGGCAGATGGTCAGTTTTCGGGGAAGTAATCGAGACACTCACTCAAGCTGACAAGAGAACTTCCGCCAAGGAAAGGTTGAGTAGCGAAGTCAAGTGTTCCCCCTGTGTTGATCAAGACGAAAGCTGCGCATGTTCAGGAGACAAGGCAGCTGCACCTTGTTCTTGTGGCCCTGAGGGTTGTGGAGAACAACAGAACAGTGCTGGAACTGACACTGCTTCGCATAATCAACAGTTGCTAGATGCTCAAGACAAAACAAGTCTGATAGGAAATTTTTTGTCAAGGAGGCGAAAAACTGATCCTACCAGAAAGTTGGGTGATAGTAGAACTGCTTCAGGTGACAGCCTAAAGCAAGAAAATAGTAGAGAAGAAGCCCCAGGTGAATGGGGCTTTGTAGATAGAGTTTTCCTAGGAGGATTGATTCTCAGCTTATTCACATTGCTAGCTCTCCTCGTAC